AATAACAAGTATTACTGTATTACATTCATTTAAAGATTTTGTAATTTAACATTTTCACAGTAATATCGACTTATAGTTGTTATGGTTATTCATCATTTACATTTCTCTATTATGTTATGGACTTAATATATTCAATATAATGAATGTGTGGTTTATCCCATTAGGAAAAATTAATTGAAAATAAAATTTATATAATTGTATAAGAGAGTTTCTTAAATGTTTGCCTGTTATATGCTTTAAAAATGGTTTGGATGTTTGATTTATTCTATCCTGTTTCGAATGATCTAGTTTTACAATAAACGTGGAAAAAACCTCAGTGTCAAACGGTAGTTAGTAAGATGTATAAATTTCTATGCTTAACTTCCTGACAAATCAGTATTAGCTGGATGAGTACATAGCGCTTTTGAAGACAGCAGTTAGTGGTTAAAAGGCTGTACCTGTTAACTAAAATCGTCTTTGATGACTGACAGCCCATTCAAACTTCAAGGCAATCATTTTTCAAAACACTAGTTTATTACTGGATGTTTTCTTATTTTAGATTTGTTTTAATTAAGTTATCTTCGTGAGTTTTTTTATGAACCCTCATAAAATGTTTACAACTTATTGCGAATCTAAATAATGAGAGACTCAAAAAGTACTAACATGGTGATTGGTATTTCTTCCCCTTCTTCATTGATCCTTTTTAGAAACTAAAGACAAACACTATAAAATTCATACATCGAATATATTCGGCAAATAAAACAGATTTAATTAGAGCTAGATTGGTCATTAACACTTACGAAATAATAAAAAATTCCGTTAATCATTGTTTAAAGTTTTTCTAAATATTCACTCGTCAAATTCTTACGAACACTGAGATTATATTACAGCTTTGTATATATTGCACAGAGAATTCTTCATTGTGATCAAAAATACGCGAATGAATAAGGATGTATTATTATTATTATTATTTTGATCATTATAAAAAAATAGAATTCTATAGGTTTGAACATTATTCCGCTAAATTTAGAGATAAAACTCTGACTTACGCATAACCTAATGATTTATTCTAAAAATCTATGAGTTCGAACCTTGTTTTTAGCAAAAAGTCATTAGTGAACATTATCAAACAAATTTGTAACTCAAAACAGTGATCAGACAATCTTTTCCTTTGAAATAGCAATTCAACCAAAATATGACAATTTAATTTAGCTATATATATGTCATATTGGATAACTAATGGGAGTTCTATTTGTTAGCCAGAAAATATTGTCTTAGCAACAATTCTAACCATTATGTTATTCATGTATAGTTTTTTTTGTTTCAGAATGTTTCATTTATCAGATACAACAATACAAGTAGAAAATAAAATGTCTGGCTTATTGAATGTATACCTATCAATACGTTGTAAAAAAACAACGATAGTAGAAATCATTGGTAATAATGTTTGGGCTGAACAAAAACTTGTATAATTATATCTACCATCCTCATGATAGGTTAGGGATGTATAATATTTGCTTTATTCATCAAAACGATACAACAAATATATGACAGAATGTCTTTTTTTCATGAATTTACTAAACTATTATTGATAATAGAAAACTGAAGAAATTATTCAGATGACAAAAAAAACATTTAGTCATTATTATTGGTAGTACTAGTCTAATTGTTTTTGTAATGTAATAATAAAGCTCATTATCTAGAGTTTAGAGCAGAATATTTAGAAAAATACTGAATGGTCTAATGTTTGTAGAAAAGATAGTTTAAACGTGTCGAATGAATTGGTGGTCTTGTAAGTAAAATGTTTGTGTTTCAACCAATTTGATTATAGTCCTGAACCTTACCTTTACATAGGTCATTTTTGATGTTTGGAACTTAATAAAAGTATCTATATAAAATATGGATTCGACCTATGTACACAAACTTACACTTTAAAACGGAATTGTATTATTGCTCTACAATTTCTGTATGGTCTGTTTATGAATATATATTTATCAATTAAAAATTACTAATAATCAGTCAATCGTCATTATTTTCATCGAAATTTAACGATAGCTGGAAATTAGTGATGAGCAGAGAACATAAAATACTGTTTTATCCTTTATTTATAACTCACAAGCATTGGTCAGCAAATATTCAATGGAAACAATCTAGACCAAGCACGATCTACGTAAATGACTGAGTCGAGATTCGACAATGTGTGTTTTTTATCTCAATAAATTTGTGATATGGAGCAGTTCACAACACATATTTTTAGTAAGTGACTAATCAACTTTACATTTACTTGTTTTGTAGCTAGTAAGGACTGGATTACCATTAAATTAAGTAGTTTTGTGGAGATTTTCATATACTTAAAGGGTAATTTAACACTAAATGGAAGTCTGTGGATTATTTTTTAGCCAAACAACCAATCTAATATTATTGTACTGCCTATGTGACCATAAGTACCTAGTTTCATTGACTGGAAATGGTTTTGGTTTCATACTGCTGGGTAGTACTAAAGCAGTAAAAGTCGTTTTTTATTGGTCTCTGATTCTAAGTATTTTTCTGGATCATATCATTATCAATTTATCTGTTTTTCTGTCAAGTCATATTATGTCAAACATTAATTTGAATCAACTGAGGTCATTAAATTTGTCTCCAGGTTAACTCATCAAATTCATAAAGTCGAAGTTTTTAACTGATTTAAAGATATAATCTTTTGAAGGTTAATATTTACTTTTAGTGAAAAGAAAGGTAATGAAAATTTATTTTACTTATTTGTTAAAGTCTTTGATATGACAATGATAATTCTTTATATCAGCAAGCAAACTTATTTCCGAAGCGTATTTATTCAGTTTTCAAATAAGATTTACTGTTTCAAAACTTCTACCTCTCAAAATACGAACACTTAGACTTTGTAAAAGTATTATGGTTTTCCATTATTAAAATGACTCATTTTGTATTTTTTGTTTGAATCTTCTCATTGATGTTTAGGACTATAATTGATCAGTCTCTTATTGGCATATATGCATCCTGTTCGGATTGCCTTGACATTGCCTCATTTCACAAGCATTATAAGCGAAGGTGGATGGTGGCTAGCAGTGGAATCCAGGACCCGCGTGAATAGTGCGATTGCGTTTGAAGCAAATGAAACTGAGTTTGAGTCCTGGAATGAACATCAACTTCGGGATGTAAGCACATACAGCTGACGAGTTCCAAAGAAATCGAAACGCGAGTCTTGGATCCCATTGCCAGCCACCATCCATCTCATTATTAAGATAATTTAAATTTTCTACGTTAATAGATTTCGGTTAGCAGTGGAGTAAAAGACATGAATAATATCCTACTTAGGATTAGTCATTTGAATGAAATTGCATCTCAGAGTTAACGCATAAGAAACACATACTTCCTTACCTGTTCGGACGAATTAGATGTAAACATAATGTCGAGAAAAATCGTTAATATATTTCTATGAAATTTCTGCATTTATTATCAGAGTATCTTCTGTAGTTAGTCAGGCGTAAGATATTAAATAAATTACTAACCCTAAATGTAAAACATTCATCAAACTGGATCATAGTGATGAAAAGAGCAATAAAAGAAAGCCATAAACAAATGAAGTTACATAAATGAATTTTTTTTGTAAAAAAACGAAACATTCTATAGCATATTATTTAAGTGTAGTTACTACAACAAAACATTTTTATAAGACACTTTTGCATTTCGGTATGGACTAAAATTCAATGAAAGTGTCATATCTGCATGTTATTCTGCTCTATGTATATATTATTTATTACATTGACATTACAGATATTCTTTCTTGAACAGGAACAATTAGGTCTATTGTGATTAGAAATATCTGAAATGAGAATAGCTTAAAGTTAAAATGAAGTCGTATTCATTAGACTGGTTACCTCATTTCCAAAGCTTTGATTTTTATTCTAGACAACGGGTAACAATCCATATTTGTAATATAAATTGGCTTTCAAAAGAGAAGAATTAAATAGCCTAATATTTCATGATTTGAAGGAGCAAGTATAAGGTTGTCGAAAACATGAGTACGTAGATAATCATCTCACGTAGGTCAAATATAAATTTAAAATGTGAAGGACTCACTAATACGAAATAAGGTCGTTCTACATATAATCTAGTAAACGAGAACATAGGTGGGGACAACCAATTTATTATTTCATATAAAATTACAGAATATCTTCATAAAATATTAGAACTATACATTAAACGCTTGATTTGCAAATCTTCTGCCAATTATTCCTTACATCCTGTCTGATTCTTCCAATTCAAAATTCCTTTCTATTTCACTTTCCTGTTTCGTTAAACTTGATCTTCTTATCCTCAAACTGCCAACCATTCAACTTTTGATTGATGTTACATACTACCTATGTCTGCAAGTAGCATACACCACAATAGTATTATCTACTATCTATTTTTTGAAATCATAACTATTTCTATACTTTATTACAATGTATACAGTTAATTTATCGCCTCATAATCATAATGAAAAGCCTGAAACTGAAATTTCTTATCATGTCTCAGAAACTTCATAAATAGCATAACTAGGACTTCGGTACATTTCGAAATCAATATTGTTCGAAAAATCAACGTAACCACTTCACTCCACTCAATACTCACAATAAAACTAAATATGCAATGAAAATACATGCAATCTAATGTATAAGATAGACTGTATCAACTACATGAAGCATCTATGAACGTAGATTACGGTTAGACAACAAAATAAGCCATCATTCATATCCTTTTATGCAGACCAGTTTGACGTAAAAATTGTTTATTGTGCCATTCAACTCAGTGGATGCAAAAATACCAAAATCTTTAGATGTACACGTTCCATGACAAAAATATATAAAGACAAAGGTAAATGGTGTTGAGTGCCATTTACTTTTTCCTTTTTGTGAATTACACATAAATCACAGAAAATATATCCCACTGAATAATTACCGAGAAAATTTATTCAACTAAATCAAATGTAGTTAAATCACAAGCATCTACTTATTGCTCACCTTTCTACACTTCTTCGGCAATTTTGCTAATCCGTTAGCATTAAATAGATATTGCTGATAATGTGTTCATCACTGAAATGTCGATATGTTTAATTTTTGAGATCATTTCGTGATTGTCATGGTTTTTCTTTTTTTTTCTCAGATGAATCTCTTGTTTGTATGTTTTCTTTTGAAATGTATATCTATATATTACCTTCATTATGGATTAAATTAGTCTGTGTTTCAACAATCAAAGTATTTATCATAATTATAAAGGACATACTTTTGAAGTTAGGTCATTTAGTTGTTTTGTTATTGAAGATTTATGGGTAAGCAGTGAAATTTTGTGGCCTCATTTTTATTTCCAATATCTCATCTTCTTTTAATCTCTAAGTTTGTTATGACTAAGGACACCGTGAATGACAATCTTATGATCTAAATCACAGTTTGTTTTGTGTTTATTTTTTAAAAATTATTCCTTATGGTCACTTTACATGTTATTCATTCAAATATTTTCCAGAAAACAAAAGTTAAAATATAATCAGAATTTATTATACAAACAAGATGTGGAATTAATTTATATACTGTGTGATATGATGAAACACAATCGGTTGATTATTCATGGACAATATAAGATCTGATACAATGAAACATTGATTTAATTTACACATAGAGTACTTCTGAGAGATGAAAAGAAATCAACAAAATGTGAGGCATATGATGGACAATAAAATCAAAATTCATTTAGGTTTGAATACCTTACAGAAGGGATAGATACGCATTATTGATGCGAAATTATGCACTTTATTTAGTCAAACATTTAGAGAAAGGTAAAGAACGAATGTAACATGGCCAATTTTGAGTCATGTCACCCAATGTCCCCAATCATTGTTTACGAGTACTATTTGAGCTCGAATCGAAAAGTTCAAATACTTCGAGATGGTTCAAGTTTACAGTAAATGAACTTACAGACAAATGTCATGTATTGATTTATCTGAAGCTAGATTCTCATCAATCTACTCCTATGTAAATAAAAAAATCAAATATATAATCAACGCCTTTTACATGTTTATTTTTTATACCGGGCATAAACTGAGCAATATTTTACCTAAAAGCAAACTAACAGTTTATTGATCATTCGTATAATCAGTCTAATTCTCTGGTTATCTAACTGGAAAAAATGAAGATATAAATTTTATTCTTGAGTTAGTTTTCGTAATAAATTGATTTCAGCTAAAGAATCATTAAAAAATAGTGAGCATATTACAATTACTTCATTCTACTTCTTTATTATAAAGAATTTTCTAGTATTTGACTTAATTCGGGTTAACTTGTGACAATAGATGATTATCCTATCTTTTTTGAGAATTAATTGAATTTGATTAGTAGATTTTGATTTAGCTGTCTGACTATGACATTCACACTAGGAGAACACAAAGCTCTGAATTCGATTCTTGGCAAGATAGTGAGTAGGCCTTTTTAGGCATCATAAAAAGACGGAACATTTATTCAATAACTTCTAAAGAATAATATTTTCAAATTGTTACTTCCATGAATACGTTTGAGAAGTAATAAAAAACTAGCCAAGGTGAGAATGAAACTGCTTTTTAAAACAATAATTGATTATTAAGAGAATTCTCTCTAACAAATAATAATAGCTTGTAAGTGTTCCGATGAGATTAGTTTAATTTCTAAGATTTTTGGTTGTAGATTTACCTCAATTCTGGTTTTTTTAATAACTAGGAAGTACTAGACAGATGTTTATGCTATTATTGGACTTTTCAGTATCCCTCCAGAGATAAAACTCAGGACTAGCATATGGACAACAAACGCTTATTCATTGGAACCATCAGGCTGCAGTTCAATTGTTCTATCCGCTGAGATACGAAGGTGTTGGGTTCATTCCTTGGTGGAAATCGCAGATAAACGATGCTGAAAATTTCCATACTCAGACGAAGTAGATGTGCAATGTTGATTGTTCCTAAATGGCACCACAAATGAGGTCAATCTTTAAATAATACAACTTACAAATAGAAATTAATTGTTAATCCTGATCTATCTGAAAACATTAGAATAATTTTGGAAAGGTGAAATATCTTTTCTTTGCATTTATAACAAGAAAACTAGACTAGAAAATATATCAGTGTATAACACACCATTTTGATGCTTTCTTTCATTTTTAGTGATTATTATGCCTATCAATCCATTTTATTCGATTGATCAATCTTAACTGAAGTGTGACCAATGAATAAAACTAATGACTAACATAAAATAATTCTTTTTTAGTACAGAGAAAATAATAACAAATAACTATTGCCAAATGCAGAAAAGCGTGTCAAATCTATATATGAGTGAATTAGTACATATAAACCTGTGTTATTATAAACTCAAAGTTTATATTTTTTCCCTAATCTATAGGGTCACTCCTTTATTTTATTAATTGAGTATATTTGCGGAACAAAATATTATAAAGCATAATGACTAATGAAGAATTTTAAAGAATTGGTTTACACTGGGCATTATCAAACTAATTAGTCATGAACACGAATGAACAAATGTGTCATTCTTAAAATGTATACCTTTAATATATATGGGAAGGTGTATTAGAGTTGTGCTTTTTTCAAAAAAGAGGTTTAAGATTTCTTTTCAAAAATTTTGGCATACAATCTTGAGTAGATTTGGCTTTTCAGTAAATTTAGAGAAAATATGTAGAGTAAATTGATTGTGGCTAGCAGTAACTGTCAACCAACACCAAAGTCAGAATTTTCAATACAAATGGCAAGATAGTTCTACTGTATGTGGCGGAGACGTGGTGATCTACAAAAGCCATCATCCAGAAGATACAGGCGTTTATTAACAGTTATCTTCGGACTTCGGACTCGTTGGCCAGAAACTATTAGCGACAACCTAGTGTGGGAGAGAACAAACCAGATTCCAGCGGAGGAAGAAATCAGGAAGAAGCGCTGGAAGTGGGTAGGACACATATTGAGGAAAGCATCCAACTGCGTCACAAGGTAAGCCCTAACTTGGAATTCTCAGGGTCAAAGTAGAAGAGGAAGACCAGAGAACCCATTACGCCGAGAAATGGAAACAAATACGAGAAGCATGAACAACAACTGGATCGAACTAGAAAGGAAGGCCCAGGATAGAGTGGTTTGGGGAATGCTGGTCGGCGGCCTATACTCCATTGGGAGTAACATGAGTAAGTAAGACTGGCAGTAAATTCAGTAAGCGCTTTGTTGCAGATACATACAGTTAACAAATTTTAAGTAGGACGAAGTACACGTTCTAGATCCTACTACTAGGCGTATTTCGTCTGTTCTAAAGAATGTGTCATAATTGCTATGTCAAGGCATTTGACACAATAAGCCCATAATTTCAACAAAGACTGGTTAAAATTCATTTCCGACTATCAGCACTAACAAATACTTATATATATGAATATGATTATAAAAGGATAATTATCAATACACTTGTGTTCAGTATTTGAAGAAGTGGTTGAATTAGAAAAGCAGTGAAATATAACATAACTTAGAGAAGATTTAGTCATAGTCACATATAATGATATTTATACTCAATCAAGACTAAACTTTCAATTCCGTGTTTATCACATTTCGGCTCATGAACTAATGAGTAAACTATGTCTTTTGTTCATCCGTGAATTTAGAAACATTAGATTCAATCTATTCAAATTTAATAAATAGAAGAATTGTTTGAAATGAAGCCTGCTTACAGGAAATGATTGTTATTACGATCTTTTCTTCGTTAGTTTCTGAAGATACCTTCTAACCATCAGGTAGATAACAGTTGATGAACTGTTGAAGATAGCTTAACACTATACAATTACTTCATTGTGGTTTAGATCTCAGCGATTTATACTTACCACTCCATACAGGATCAAACAAAAAGTATTCAGAGTATGTAGAGAGTGCAACACCTTTGAATCATTTAACTGGAATCCAGTTTATCTCGTTCACAAAATCAGTCAGTTTGTGATATAATGACTTTTTACATCAATGTAATGGCTGATCACTACATTACTCCCGATATGATTCACAAACAAAATTAGATGTTAAGTATTAGCTTAGATGACCCGCTCTATTTATGTCCATGAGAAATTCTCACTGAAATGACAGTGTATTCATAAATCAGATTGAACTATTCTGTGAATATTTGTATATTATCTAAAATAAACTCCTATTTATACTGGATATCTACAGTAGATATACGTATATCAATAGAGTCTGACCGGTCCTAAATATCAACAAAAAGTTATTCCAAACAATTGCGAGGAAATTTATACATATATATTCAATATTTCGATAATGGTAGAGAGGATAATTGGATTCCAATCTGCTAACAAACTAATATCATGTAGGGGGATTATTTAACAGTTGAAAATTGAAGACAAACGTCTTTCTACTTCTCTCATTTATGTTTTTAATCGTAATTTAAAGGAAATATGATGTAATACAATCATACAGTGACCAAAGATTAATATAAAGCCCTAGAAGAAAGTACATTAAATTCAGTGTTGACTGAACTATGAAAACTATAACTCACTAACTCTGTTTATATATTTGTATTCAGCAGTACCATCCATAATTAATTGGTTAAGTTAAACACCACTACTTAATGAACTGGAACCTGATGTCAGTTAAAATCTAGTTAAATGTTTCAGTTATTATAGTCTATATAGAAACTATCTGTTTAAATTAAATCAACAACTAATTCACTAGATATATACATTTACATATTGACAGATTACTGAAATAATTATTTATTACAACATTACATAAGATATACAGTCAATCACTTTTTTTAAAAAAATTTACAAATTAACCTTTCAATACTTTAAACAACTAATTTGTATTATAAAATTAAACATTGGTCAAATTGAATGATGGACATTAAATACTCGTTTAAATACATTCCAACTACTGATTACATAAACAATTAAAATATATTTCTTAATTATATTTTAAATTTGAATAAACATAACATTTATTTATTTTAAAATTTACCTTTCTCTCAAGTATTTCTTAAGTGGTTGTTAAGGTTTCATAATAATGAACTGGAATAAGTCAAATGAATTAACTTTAATTTCTGATCTTAAATGTTTGTCAAATATTTTGTACACTACTGATAATATAATTCATTAATGAAATATCATAAGACAATTTACAAGCATATTAGTTTGTTTAATTATGAATCTACAGTAAATATTGAAGCACTTATATTCATCTCTGATGAACGAATGTATATCTTAATAGTTGAGATCATGAGTCAATCTAGACCACCATGGAAAGCCTCGAGGCACTGGACGGCCGTTTCTTCCTATTGTGGGACTCTTCAGCAGGGCATATCCACGATCCCCACTCGCGAGATTTCAACTCAGGACCTATCAGTCTCGCGCGCAAACGCTTAACCACTAGACCACTGAGCCAGCATCCAACTATGTTAATGTCTAACTTCAACCGATCCACAAAGTTGAGCGACACATCCGTCATTGTATTCAGTGACTTGCTATCTCGTAACAGACCTGGTTGAACTCCACTGGTCACTGCTTCCCACTAGAACTCCAGAAAATATCTGTTGAAGCCAATCACTAGTGAGCATATGTTGATTAATATCAAAAGGGGTTTTGTGGATATTACAGTAATTTTAATAGTTGTGATTTGTATATCTTTCAGGATTTCCATTAATGAAAAGAAAATCGATGATAACTTCATTTTTTCAAGTGTTTCGGACTCGTTTAATTATTCTAAAAATAGTCATGTTATATTATGCCTGTGACGTTGTTAAATTGCAGGAAGTTGATTGGTGGGGAATTGAATCAACAGGTATATGTTGTTAATAAAAACCCATTAACTCGAAAAACACGTTGAAACCAAATATAATTTATGATAGTAAGATTATTAACGACGCATGAAACTACCCATTTCTACCTTTAATTAAGTAACTACCAGGGAGGTTCAGTTGTGACGCCCTTTTTTTAAATGGCGTCTGACGTCTTCAATCAATAATACATTATTTACTTTTGATTGATATCTAATTTAAACATGCTGAGATATCTTAAAAAGTTAGTTATCTAGTCTAGACATGTATCATTTAGATTGTTTTCTTAATTTTTCTCACAATCACAATTCGCGAATAGGTCAGAAAACAAAAATAAAATGAAACATTTTACAAACATGTTAATCATGAAATAAGAATTAATGTCTTGTTTCTAATGACAGCAACAACATATATCAATGAAAAGAAAAATAATTTAAAGTTAATAGTTGAGTAAATTGCTGAATTAATTATATCTGATACATGGAAATAAGTTAGATACATTAACTGATTGATGAGTAGCCACAGGAAAACTAGTTCAGGAGAATTTAACCAGCACCAAATATTACATTATAAAAGATTGATTAGTTGTCATTCATTCATTACTATAGATACAAAAATCTTATAGTAGATCAGTAATAGCCTATAATCATTCAGTGGTATTGTCTCTAACTGTAATACTAGATGAAATTGGTTTAAATATATGAAAGACTATGTAAAATAAAATTATTTCTTATTTTCACTTTACATCTATTTATAATCAGTCTATGTTTTTATGACAGCATTATTCAACCAGTGTTTTGAAGACCAGAATATTTACACATCTACATAATGAACTGTTTGGATTTTGACTTAATTTTCATCTGAATTACACATACTTATTCACCTGGTTAATTAAGTATATAAGTATCCCCTTAATCTTACCCAACATGTTTGACTTCATATCAATCAATTACATCTGAAATATATCTTGCTAAAATAAAATTCCCATAAATCGAACATTATGATTTCATTGTATATCCGAGTGTTCATATATTTATTAAATTAAATTTCTATTCAATCCGCATAAACTCTAAATATTTTTCAGAAGCGGGTTTTGTGGAGATTTTTGTAATTTTATATAGTTGAGATCATGAATCAATTGAAGCTAGACCACCATGGAAAACCTGAATGGCTAGTCAATTTTGTGGACTGGTTGAAGCTAG